TCTCCGCTAAGGGTTTCGTGTCTGCATGCTGTCTTTGTGTTTGGTGAATGGGTGTCTGTCATTGCTAGTGCACGGTCATTGCCTTTTTAGTGCCACTTCTGAGGGTAGGCTGTGTTGGGGCCCCTGCCTGCTTGATTTAGCGGGTGCTACTTGTTTCACGATTAAATTCGGTTGCAATTTGCTTTGAGCCCGAGTACTCCCCGAGTTGTACTTTTTGTGGTGTTGGTGTCTAGCCTGGGCTTAGTGCTGCCATGGGGCTTTGTGAGTGTTCCAAATAGCCTGTGGTTGTGCAAAGGTGTTGCCAGTTGCCTTTGCCAGTTGATATTCTTGGTAGTTCTCGGGACTTTTGCGGGATGTCCTTGTTTGGCTTCAAAAACACTGCTAATCAGCAAGAGGATCAATCACTCGAATCAATTTGCAGCGCGCAATCAATATACCAGTCAGTACTTCAGTAAACCAGTGAAGTAATTAGCGAGGCAGCATCAACTGGTCATCCAAGAATGATTCTTTTCCAACAGGCTGTACTTTTCTTATGTATTGCTTTTCCGATCCTCTGAAGCTCTTGCGCGTTGGCTTGTCTGGGATTTGCTGTTGCATAGTCAACAGACACGCTGAGTTTGGGCAGAGCATGTCAATTCTCTGCAGAGGTTGGGCCAGAGCCGCAGACATCCTTCATGGCAGCTGGCCCTCGCAGTCCAGGCTTGCAGCATCAGGGAGTTTGATAGAGCCAGTCCTGTCACATAGCAGACATAGCATTTCTGATTCATTCTGATTCTAGTGGGAAAAAAATCCAATCCTTTCTTTTCACTGATCCTGTACCACTCTGGTCCAACCTTTTTGTCCTCTTCCTTTCGTCAACTGGTCCATTGGTCCTACAATTCATCTTTGAAGGGATACCTGCTTGGGACATGTTTAGAATGAAAGAACAAACCCTGCTCGGAATCTATTGTCAGCTGTGAAGGTGCAGGCATGCCCGTGGCCCTTGTTGGCACAGCGGCCCTGCTGGCAGCTGCATCTTCAGCGTCTTTCTGGGCTTTGTCGATGACAATTTTCCCTGGCTTTGACTTGAATGCTTTTTTGATATCGGAGGAAATGGATCCTCAGGTCAGAAGCACACGGATGGTTCGGAGAGCGAAAAAAGAGAAGGTGCGCTTGAAGCAACGCTAGAAACTGCTTTTCAGAATGCTTGCTGGCTAGTTCAAAATTGGCATCCTTACTTGACAGCCTCACTGTCAGCACCTCCCTTCCTTATATCCGCGAGATTCCCTTAATTAGTAATTTTCATCTCTCGGGCCTGCAGTGACAGCCTGCTTCCAAAGCTTTTTTGTTTCCGCGACACGCTGCAAGCACAGAGTCTTTAATAGACAACAAATGGACAAGCTGACACTTTGCTACTAGTGTATTTCTTTGCAACTTGCACTTTGCGTTTGATTTGATACTGACAGCGTGAAAGGAACCAGCCAGTGCTGCGGAGGAGGCACGCTTTCCAATGTTCAATTCACAAGTTTGCGAAGGGAGCAGTGTGACACCAACAGGCGGAAAAGGTGGAAGCAGCACCCAAAGAGAGTGTAGCTGACAAGGCAGCAAAGGCGGACCATGTGCAGATCTCATGGTTGTGGGATTCCGGATGTTGCAGGGTGTTGGACACGGTATGTGGTAGAATTCAATGGGTGTCAGATAAAGTAGATTCTGTCCTTGGCAAGACCACAGGACGTTACCATGAAAATGGAAGTGGGAGTTGGCAGAAGCAAGTCTGATTGGGAAACTTGTTGTTTTCTTGCGGCTGTGAATCTGCCACATGGTGGTCACCCCGACACCTCGCTGGCACGCTATGGTCAGAGCATCCTGACAACACTGACACTGCTTCTCGAAGTGCATGCATGGTGAATAGCAACGCAAGGCAAGTGGGACTGACAGCGCAGAGGCCAGTGCAAGTGGCAGCGCAGAGGCGCCTTCATTTCAGGGGTCAAATTTCAAGATTTGCCTGTGAAACTTGTCTTGTGCATTCGTATGCATTTGTGACTTTCAGCAACCAATCTCGCTTTGAGTAGGTACGTATATGTGTTCTGTAAGAGTCCAGTGTGGGCACTGCGGCATGACTGTTTAATTTAAGGGTATGCTGCAGCAACACCAGGGTTCTGGACTCTTGCAAGGTGGATACAACTGAAAGTCCTCCCGAGCCAGAAGAAACGAAGCCCACAGGCTTTAAAGGGCCAGCTCCTCAGATCTCAAACTTGCGAGAAGAGATGGGACAAGTCAGTCAGCCCTTTGGACCCATTTGTATTTGTCAAAGTGTTTGAAACATAACTGGAACATCATGCATTGACAAATCCTCTGTTTTGAAGCAATCTCTTCTCTCATTGCAATCGAAGATGACCAGAACTTTAGGGCAGTCGGTGCGTTGCCACCTCTTGGCTTTTGGGACCCTGCGAAGCTTTGCAAAAGCCCCACACTTGGACTGTCAATTGAAAGCTTCCGAAGCTATCTCCGGTTGCTTCTCATTTGACACAGGATTTCGTTCTTTTGTCTCAAATGCGCAATCATGATGGAGCAAAAGCGGTGAAGCCAGCCTTGTTTCGGATACTTCAGAATGAGACTGTCGTGCTGGAATACTTAGTTTTCCTTGTGTCCTGGAACATTTCCATGGTGCTTTCCTATAAATTTCTGGACAGACTTTCTGATTGAGACAACCTCACCAGATTGACGCAGACAATGCTTTGAGCCACTTGGCTTAGGTGAAGAAGACTTTAGGAAGCCTATCCCTCAAAGCTTCATGACTGTCTTCACAACCTAGTGCAGTTGACATCCCCTCTTGTGAATATCTTTCGATTGATGCATCAATCGCAGCAAAACCCAAGCCTCCCAAGAAAGCTTTGCAAGGTTTCGAGTTGCAGAATTGAAGCACGGCCGAGTCGTGCAAAGCTCAACATGCATGGAACAATACCTGTAATCTGCAAGATGGAAAATTTGCTTAAGAATGTTTCAGATCTGAGAAAGCAAAGATGTACAATAAACCGGCAACCGTCGTGCCACTTGAGCACATCGTAGCTGAGCACTTTGGAAAACTGCATCTTCATCCATGCTCTTGTGTTTTCCTTGGCATGCGCATATGGTTGGTTGCTCCTTTGAGGCTATGATGGCTGCTCTCGGTGCTGTTGTGCAACACTTTATTACCTTCCCAGGGTCCGCTTGCCCATTTTATTGGCGGCACCTCGAGTCATTTGGGGTCCAAAAATGGGGTACACCTATTTTTGGGCTGACGCCCCTCGTCGGCTCCGCCGGACCACTCGGCCCTCCATTTCATCGCAGTGTGGGCGTGAAAGTTACTGAATGAGGACCTGCTTCAGAAATATATTCCTTAGGGTTTTTTGGAACATATTTGTTGGAATAGACGATTTTTTGGGGAGCAAGTGAGTTCCCGAAAGCTCCTGCGAAGGGTTTTTCCTAAAGAACTGCTGCCGATTTCAACTTGTTACTTCGTGTAAAGGCGCCTCTGTGCAAAGACTTCTCTGTGTAAAAGCTTTTGTGTGTAAAAGTAAGATTCTCTGTGTAAAGACTTCTTTGTGTAAAAGCTTCTCTGTGTGAAAGCACGTCTGTGTAAAGATTTCTCTGTGTGTAAAAGCTTCCGTGTGTAAAAACTCTCTGTGTAAAGGCTTCTCTGTGTAAAAGTTTCTGTGTGTAAACGCGTCTGTGTGTTAAAGCTCTCTGTGTAAAGACTTCTTTGTGTAACAGCTTTTGTGTGTAGAAGCTCCTAGACGTTTGTGTGAAAAAGCTCCTCAGAGGAAAGACTTCTCTGTGTAAAACCTTCTGTGTGTAAAAAGCTCCTCTGTGTAAAGGCTTCTCTGTGTAAAAGCCCCTGCGTGTGTAAAAGCTTGCTGTGTGTAAACGCTTTGGTGTGTAAACGCTCCTCTGTGTAAAGGCTTCTCTGTGTAAAAGCTTCTGTGTGCAAACGCGTCTGTGTAGAAAGCCCTCTGTGTAAAGACTTCTTCGTGTAAAAACTTCTGTGAGTAAAAGCTCCTAGACGTTTGTCTGCAAAAGCACCTTAGAGTAAAGACTTCTCTGTGTAAAACCTTCTGTATGTAAAAAGCTCCTTTGTAAAGACTTCTCTGTGTAAAAGCCCCTGTGTGTGTGGGTAAAAGCTTCTGTGCGTCTCCTCCCTCCAGCTTTCTTTCGGGTCACGCTGTCGTCCAGTTTCAATCTGCAACGTTGTTTCTCGTGGAAGAGTGCAAAATAATGCAAAGAACATGTGAAAGCATCGCGCGTTAAAAAATTGAACATAAACAGCGCACAAAGTGTTGTAATTTACAGCATATTGCGCTGTCAGCTGGCAAGAACCCGCGTAAATACCACAGTTTTAGTCCCCCAAAGTGGCTAAAACACTGTTGTTTACAGGGTTTCGTTCACGTCACGATCTTCGATTTTTTGAGAAACGCGTAAATACCAGCATTTTTTGCGTTCATCAACGCAAAAGATCGGTTCAAAAAGGGAAGAAAATGCTGTAATTTACAGGGGTTTGGCGCCGCCACGGGCAAAAAACTGCGTAAATACCAACGTTTCGGCGTCCAAAAGTGGCCAAAACACCGCTATTTACAGTGTTTCGTGCCTTCCACGTTTTCTTGAAATTGCAAAAACCATGTGAATACCAGCATTTTTTGCGATCAACCCGCCCAAAATGCTGTAATTTACAGTGTTTTTTTGCTGTGCTTTCAAAAACACTGGTATTTGCAGTGTTTTGTGCATCTCGGTTCCAAAAAGTATTGGTATTTACAACATTTTCTGCGTTTTTGCATGGCTCCCGCAAAAGACGGTAAAACGCAAAAATGCTGTAATTTACAACATTTTGTGCCTTTCGAAAAGCGAAAAATCGTCCGAAAAAGGCGTCAAAACGGCACTTTTTTCCGATTTTAGGTACCCTCAAAATCGGGGGGGGTGAATGCTCTTGGAGACGCTTATGAGCGACCCGGATTCCGTCCAAAAACCTCTCCCCCACCCTCCTGAAGGATTTTTGGTGTTTTTCGGGGCCCGGCGTCGGAGGGTCGGCGGTTTGGGGCGCGCCTCACCATAGAGCTCTAGTCGCTCTGGGACGCTCGTAGGGCAAGCCACTCGTGTGGAGCCGGCGGAGCCGAATTTAAGGGCTAACGCCCCTCGTCGGCTCCGCCGGATTTCTCGGCCCTCCATTTCATCGCAGTGTGGGGGCTGGAAAGCTTTTGGATGGGGACCTGCTTCAGAAATATATTCCTTACGTTTTTTGAAAAAAAAAGAACAGGAACTTTGTTGGAAATAGACGGCTTTTTTGGGGAGCAAGTGAGTGCCCGAAAGCTCCTGCCAAGGGTTTTTCCCGAAGAACTGCTGCCAATTTCAACTTGTGACTTCATGTCAAGACGCCTCTGTGCAAAGACTTCTCTGTGTAAAAGCTTTTGTGTGTAAAAGTTTCTGTGTGTAAAAACCACTTTGTGTAAAGACTTCTTTGTGTAAAAGCTTCTATGTGTGAAAGCTTCTCTGTGTGAAATGTCTGTGTAAAGATTTCACTGTGTGTAAAAGCTTCGGTGTGTAAAAACTCTCTGTGTAAAGTGTAAAGGCTTCTCTGTGTAAAAGCCTCTGTGTGTAAACGCGTCTGTGTGTGAAAGCTATATATCTGTGTAAAGACTTCTTTGTGTAACAGCTTCTGTGTGTAAAGGCTCCTAGACGTTTGTGTGCAAAAGCTCCTTGGAGTAAAGACTTCTCTGTGTAAAACCTTCTGTGTGTAAAAAGCTCCTTTGTGTAAAGACTTCTCTGTGTAAAAGCCCCTGTGTGTGTAAATGCTTTTGTGTGTAAAAGCTCCTCTGTGTAAAGGCTTCTCTGTGTAAAAAAAGCTTCTGTGTGCAAACACGTCTGTGTGTAAAAACCCTCTCTGTCAGGCCTTCTTCGTGTAAAAAGTTTTGTGTGAAAAAGCTCCTAGACGTTTGTGTGCAAAAGCTCCTTAGGGTAAAGACTTCTCTGTGTAAAACCTTCTGTGTGTAAAAAGCTCCTTTGTGTAAGGACTTCTTTGTGTAAAAGCCCCTGTGTGTGTAAAAGCTTGCTGTGTGTAAACGCTTTTGTGTGTAAAAGCTCCTCTGGCTGAAGGCTTCTCTGTGTAAAAGCTTTTGCGTGTAAAAGTTGCTGTGTGTAAAAACCACTTTGTGTAAAGACTTCTTTGTGTAAAAGCTTCTGTGTGTGAAAGCTTCTCTGTGTGAAAGCGCGTCTGTGTAAAGATTTCACTGTGTAAAATTCTCTGTGTAAACGCTTCTCTGTGTAAAAGATTCTGTGTGTAAACGCGTCTGTGAATGAAAGCTATATATCTGTGTAAAGACTTCTTCGTGGAACAGCTTCTGTGTGCAAAGGCTCCTAGACGTTTGTGTGCAAAAGCTCCTTAGAGTAAAGACTTCTCTGTGTAAAACCTTGCGGCCAGGTTTTGGCAAAAACGGCCGTTTCCCAATGATCCCAGAAGAGAAATTCAATAGCCGGCCGAGGGCCGCCAAATGGCAGAAATTTGCTTCCAAAAGGCTCCCGGCCAGGATTTGGCCAAAAACGGCCGTTTCCCAATGATCCCAGAAGAGAAATTCAATAGCCGGCCGAGGGGCCGCCAAATGGCAGAAATTTGCTTCCAAAAGGCTCGTGGCCAGGATTTGGGCAAAAACGGCCGTTTCCCAATGATCCCAGAAGAGAAATTCAATAGCCGGCCGAGGGACCGCCAAATGGCAGAAATATGCTTCCAAAAGGCTCCCGGCCAGGATTTGGCCAAAAACGGCCGTTTCCCAATGATCCCAGAAGAGAAATTCAATAGCCGGCCGAGGGGCCGCCAAATGGCAGAAATTTGCTTCCAAAAGGCTCCCGGCCAGGATTTGGCCAAAACCGGCCGTTTCCCAATGATCCCAGAAGAGAAATTCAATAGCCGGCCGAGGGACCGCCAAATGGCAGAAATTTGCTTCCAAAAGGCTCCCGGCCAGGATTTGGCCAAAAACGGCCGTTTCCCAATGATCCCAGAAGAGAAATTCAATAGCCGGCCGAGGGGCCGCCAAAAGGCCGAAATTTGCTTCCAAAAGGCTCCCGTGTGTAAAAAGCTCCTTTGTGTATAGACTTCTCTGTGTAAAAGCCCCTGTGTGTGTAAAAGCCTGCTGTGTGTAAATGCTTTTGTGTGTAAAAGCTCCTCTGTGTAAAGGCTTCTCTGTGTAAAAGCTTCTGTGTGCAAATGCGTCTGTGTGTAAAAACCCCTCTGTGTAAAGACGTCTTCGAGTAAAAAGTTCTGTGTGAAAAAGCTCCTAGACGTTTGTGTGCAAAAGCTCCTTGGAGTAAAGACTTCTCGGTGTAAAACCTTCTGTGTGTAAAAAGCTCCTTTGTGTAAGGACTTCTCTGTGTAAAAGCCCCTGTGTGTGTAAAAGCTTGCTGTGTGTAAACGCTTTTGTGTGTAAAAGCTCCTCTGTGTGAAGGCTTCTCTGTGTAAAAGCTTCTGTGTGCAAACGCGTCTGTGTGTAAAAAGCCCCTTAGAGTAAAGACTTCTCTGTGTAAAAGCTTCCGTGTGTAAAAAGCTCCTTTGTGTAAAGACTTCTCTGTGTAAAAGCCCCTGTGTGTGTAAAAGCTTGCTGTGTGCAAATGCTTTTGTGTAAAAGCTCCTCTGTGTAAAGGCTTCTCTGTGTAAAAGCTTCTGTGTGCAAATGCGTCTGTGTGTAAAAACCCCTCTGTGTAAAGACTTCTTCGCGTAAAAACTTCTGTGTGAAAAAGCACCTAGATATTTGTGTGCAAAAGCTCCCTAGAGTAAAGACTTCTCTGTGTAAAACCTTCTGTGTGTAAAAAGCTCCTTTGTGTAAAGACTTCTCTGTGTAAAAGCCCCTGTGTGTGTAAAAGCCTGCTGTGTGTAAATGCTTTTGTGTGTAAAAGCTCCTCTGTGTGAAGGCTTCTCTGTGTAAAATAAGCTTCTGTGTGCAAACGCGTCTGTGTGTAAAAACCCCTCTGTGTAAAGACTTCTTCGTGTAAAAGCTTCTGTGTGTAAAGGCTCCTAGACGTTTGTGTGCAAAAGCTCCTTAGAGTAAAGACTTCGCTGTGTAAAACCTTCTGTGCGTAAAAAGCTCCTTTGTGTAAAGACTTCTTTGTGTAAAAGCCCCTGTGTGTGTAAAAGCTTCTGTGCGACTCCTCCCTCCAGCTTTCTTTCGGGTCACGCTGTCGTCCAGTTTCAATCTGCAACATTGTTTCCAGTTTCAATCTGCAACATTGTTTCTTGTGGAAGAAGGCAAAGAACAGGTGAAAGCATCGCAGTTTAAAAAATTGAACATAAACAGCGCACAAAGTGTTGTAATTTACAGCATTTTGCGCTGTCAGATGGCAAGAACCCGCGTAAATACCACAGTTTTAGTCCCCGAAAGTGGCTAAAACACTGTTATTTACAGGGTTTCGTTCACGTCACGATCTTCGATTTTTTGGGAAACGCGTAAATACCAGCGTTTTTTCCGTTCATCAAGGCAAAAAATCGGTTCAGAAAGGGAAGAAAATGCTGTAATTTACAGGGGTTTGGCGCCGCCACGGGCAAAAAACTGCGTAAATACCAGCGTTTCGGCGTCCAAAAGTGGCCAAAACACCGCTATTTACAGTGTTTCGTGCCTTCCACGTTTTCTTGAAATTGCAAAAACACTGTGAATACCAGCAGTTTTTGCGATCAACACGCCAAAAATGCTGTAATTTACAGTGTTTTTTTGCTTGGCTTTCAAAAACACTGGTATTTGCGGTGTTTTGTGCATCTTGGGTCCAAAAAGTATTGGTATTTACAGCATTTTCTGCATTTTTGCATGGCTCCCGCAAAAGATGTTAAAACGCAAAAATGCTGTAATTTACAGCATTTTGTGACTTTCGAAAAGCGAAAAATCGTCCGAAAAATGTGTCAAAACGGCGCTTTTTTCCGATTTTAGGTACCTTCAAAACGGGGGGGGGAGGGCCTTTTGCTCTTGGAGACGCTGATGAGCGACCCGGATCCCGGCCAAAAAGCTCTCCCCCACCCTCCTGAAGGGCTCCCGCAAAAGACGGTAAAACGCAAAAATGCTGTATGTGTCTTTCGAAAAGCGAAAAATCGTCCGAAAAAGGCGTCAAAACGGCACTTTTTTCCGATTTTAGGTACCCTCAAAATCGGGGGGGGGGGAATGCTCTTGGAGACGCTTATGAGCGACCCGGATTCCGTCCAAGAACCTCTCCCCCACCCTCCTGAAGGATTTTTGGTGTTTTTCGGGGCCCGGCGTCGGAGGGTCGGCGGTTTGGGGCGCGCCTCACCATAGAGCTCTAGTCGCTCTGGGACGCTCGTAGGGCAAGCCACTCGTGTGGAGCCGGCGGAGCCGAATTAAAGGGCTGCCGCCCCCTGCCGCCGACCCCAGTGCAGTGAAAGGAACGATCCATTGGTGGTTTCCTCATACGTGGTATGGAATGGTATGGAATGGAATGGCATGGAATGGTATGGTATGGTATGTATGTTTCTTCTGTGTTAACGTACATATTGTCAAATGACACACAACCACACAACTTTAAATAACAAACATAATACGCACTAGGCACACCCCCTACCTAATTTAATATAGAATGACATAGTATAACGCAATATGACATAACGTAATACGATACGATGTGATACAATACAATAAAATTATAACAGAGCAAACTATTATTTGATATGATGTGATATGATATGGTATGAGATGATATCAGACACGTTATCTAAACAGAATATAGATGATATCGACGACATGAATATTTACAAAATGCGTTTGGAGACACCTCGCCTAGGCCCTTGCAGACGACTGATGTAGTGCGTAACGTTTGCCTAGGCGCCGCGAGGGATTTGGAGGCAGGCTACTGCCTAACGTTGCTTTTCTGAAGCCACTAGAAAAGCTCTTGGAAAGCGCCCAGACTGCCGCAAAAGCCTCCGGCGAAGGCGCCGCGGGGCATTTGAAGCCAGGCTACTGCCCCAAGAATGCAGCAACAGCCTGTGGCAAGGGCGCCGCGAGGGATTTGGAGGCAGGCTACTGCCTAACGTTGCTTTCTGAAGCCACTAGTAAAACTCTTGGAAAGCGCCCAGACTGCCGCAAAAGCCTCGGGCGAAGGCGCCGCGGAGGCATTTGAAGCCAGGCTACTGCCGGGCGAAGGCGCCGCGAGGCATTTGAAGCCAGGCTACTGCCCCCACAATGCAGCAAAAGCCTGTGGCAAGGGCGCCGCGAGGGATTTGCTAGTGCCTAACGTTGCTTTCTGAAGCCACTAGAAAAGCTCTTGGAAAGCGCCCAGAATGCTGCAAAAGCCTCCGGCGAAGGCGCCGCGAGGCAGTTGAAGCCACGCTACTGGCCCCAGAATGCAGCAACAGCCTGTGGCAAGGGCGCCGCGAGGGATTTGGAGGCAGGCTACTGCCTAACGTTGCTTTCTGAAGCCACTAGAAAAGCTCTTGGAAAGCGCCCAGACTGCCGCAAAAGTCTCCGGCGAAGGCGCCGCGGGGCATTTGAAGCCAGGCTACTGCCCCCAGAATGCAGCAACAGCCTGTGGCAAGGGCGCCGCGAGGGATTTGGAGGCAGGCTACTGCCTAACGTTGCTTTCTGAAGCCACTAGAAAAGCTCTTGGAAAGCGCCCAGACTGCCGCAAAAGCCTCGGGCGAAGGCGCCGCGAGGCATTTGAAGCCAGGCTACTGCCCCCAGAATGCAGCAACAGCCTGTGGCAAGGGCGCCGCGGGGCAGTTAAAGCCAGGCTACTGCCCCCAGAATGCCGCAAAAGCCTTTGGCAAGGGCGCTGCGGAGGCATTTGAAGCCAGGCTACTGCCCCCAGAATGCAGCAACAGCCTGTGGCAAGGGCGCCGCGAGGGATTTGGAGGCAGGCTACTGCCTAACGTTGCTTTTTGAAGCCACCAGAAAAGCGCCCAGAACGTGCAAAAGCCTCGGGCGAAGGCGCCGCGAGGCATTTGAAGCCAGGCTACTGCCCCCAGAATGCAGCAAAAGCCCGTGGCAAGGGCGCCGCGAGGGATTTGGAGGCAGGCTAGTGCCTAACGTTGCTTTCTGAAGCCACTAGAAAAGCTCTTGGAAAGCGCCCAGAATGCTGCAAAAGCCTCCAGCGAAGAATGCCGCAAAAGCCTTTGGCAAGGGCGCTGCGGAGGATTTGAAGCCAAGCTACGCAAAAGCCAGCGCATGCCCTGCCATCGGCTGGGTGCTTGCTCCTCGGACGCGCTCCCCCTGCCATCGTCTGGGGTCGGCGGATTACTTACCCCTTAGATCCAATGGTTGATCATCGCTTTCCCCATCAAAATTGCAATTTTGCGGATTTTGCGGTACACCTTGGTTGGACATGGTTGGACAACCCATTTCTGCCTGGGCGTGGTCTAATGGAAGCTGTGGCTCCCCTAGGTTCGATGACGTTCCCCGGGGCATGGACGCGTTGACTGATGGCACCGGTCTTTTCGGCTTCCTCCTGCTTGTCGCTGGATCAGGACTTTCAAGTGATAGCAGCTTTTCGGGTTGAGAAAAATGTCGTCAAGATCACGTGAAACCGTGAAACCCTCATACTAAGACTATCTCAGACTCACATTCAGCGAAGCAATACATCAAGAACCTGGGAGGATACTTGGAGCTGGAGCAATGGGATCAGAAAGCAGATGCAGAGGTGGGCCACTGCAGCTTTCAATTTTTTTTTTCAGCGAGCTAAGAGAGAGCCTGAGAGATCTGTTGGATTCATCTTGATTCATCTTGTATCTTGTCATATTTGGTCCCTTCCGTGCAGCCTGGAAACTTCGGTGATCCTCTTGGCCTTGCTGAGAAGAAGATCGGAGGGTGAGCCAAGAAGGATCAAAGACAGTCACATGACGCAAACCAGGTATATTTGGACGTAAAAGCCAGCAACAGTAAGAGCCATTGATGCCCACCAACACCCAGTAGGTTTGCTCTAATCACACTTTTGATTACTTTTGTCTCTACTTCAGAGATGGAGAGCCTTTCAAGGCCTTATATGGCGTTGCCTCCAAGTTGTGGGAACCATGCGGAATTCTTCTCTCCGGGGCAGATCTTTCGATGCACGAACCCCCCAAGAGCCCTGCGCCGTGGGAGTGGGTGCAAATCTTGTTCTAGGCTTCGTTTGTACTGGTTGAAGTCATGAAGCGCCTGAGCTCTTACCTGGCTTCTCCCTTAGGATATTGATTTGGGATGATTTGGAGATGCAGGTACGATGATGAGTGGCGAAACAAGGAGCTGAACAACGGCCGCTTTGCAATGTTCGCAGCAATGGGCATCATTCTTGCGGAGAACGAGACAGGCTCGGGAAGGGGTTGAAGCAGATCCGACAACACTGCTTCCCAATGTCACTTTGCAGTAGAGTCAGAGGAGACTGAAGTCATTCTGGTAGGTATTTTTGATAAGATGGCTGATAGCCTAGTGTTCAATCTTCAGAATTACATCAAGCCTGCGTGGTTTGACGTGGATTTTATGTCCTTTTGTTCAAAGCCTTGACAGGTGCCTGAGGTTGTCTGAGCTTGCCCTAGCTTTCCTCGAGTTCCCCATAGTTCCCCTTCTAAAGCCCTTCAATGTGTTCACCTCGACAGGTTTGGACGCAGTAGAGCAGATCTTTGGAATCTGAGGGCCTAGATTTTTAACGGCGCGCGGCCTGCCAAAGAGGCCTCCGAGACATCTCTAGACCAAGATCAGCCTGAGTCTCCAAACACAAAATTTGTAGAACAATGCGAGAGATACGAAAGCATCAAAGCACATTCTCCGAGTGAGAAAAGATCAGACATGTTTTGTAAATCAGAAAGATTTGGTTTGTTCACTTCCGAGTCTGCGGAGAAGATGGACGTGGACATACGTGGACCATGTTTTCTGGTTCGAAAAAGTACAGATTGCCCTGTGCTGACCTTCGACAGACACAGCCAGTCAGGGCAGCATCGCAGTGATGCAGATTTGCATCGCCTGAGATCCAAAGCCACGTGGCTCGATCAACCAAGGCTCCAGGACCGAGAGTCTACAGCAATCCACAGCATATGGGCAGCCATTCGAGACTATCTTGGCATTCGCTTTTGAAAGATGACCGAAAAAGAGTGGTTAGAACAGAAGGTCGGTGCAGTGCAGCGTTAGGTTCGCATGATCCCCACGTTTTTGTTTCAAAAGCAAGATTAGACAAAATTAGACTTATCAAATTGACAGACACAGCAGCTTCGGGATCCTGATTGCATCATGTCAAGAAGAAGAAGGAAGTGCAAGCAACTCCTGAGGTGGACATCTCTGGAAAATTGGGTCAAGGGAGTCAAGATGAGTCAAGGGTAGATTGGCTTGGTGCTTTGCAGCACCAGAGCACGTGCAGAATTGCGACAGGGCAATACCTCAGGGAGCCTGGCCAATGAGGCAATGCTGAGAAGATGTTGAGACGGTTGGAGTAAAACCATATATGAATATATATGAATCATATATGAATCAGATATGAATCATATTTGCATGATTTTGCATGTATCTGAATTATATCTGCCATGTCACAGCCTGCCTTTCTTTCTGGTATCCAGAGACCAGGCTGATGGGTCTGCACAGAGGAGATGTTGTGTGATGTTGTGTGAAGGTGAGGTCTTCCCTTTCGACATGGACTACGGCTGGTGCTTTCCTAAGATCCCACAACAGCACTTTGAGCTTGCAAGTTCCTAGTCGTTCCCAGTCAATCCAATCAAGGTACGGTCTGGGTGGAGTTTTTGCTGTGCTTCTAGTTGTCCCGATCTCAGTGCGATTCAGTACCTGCTTTAGCAACGTCAGCTTTTGGCTGCTCCAATCTGTGCGATGTGGTCGTGAGATGTGGTGAGGCTGGTGCCACTTTCGGATTCATCGTGATCTTTGATCTATGGACGTGGCGAGCATGGAAGACGCTGCCTTGGTACAGATTGATTCGTTGATAGATAGATAGATAGATAGATAGACAGACAGACAGACAGACAGATAGATAGATAGATAGATAGACAGACAGACAGACAGATAGATAGATAGATAGACAGACAGACAGACAGATAGATAGATAGATAGATAGACAGACAGACAGACAGACAGATAGATAGATAGATAGATAGATAGACAGACAGACAGACAGATAGATAGATAGATAGACAGACAGACAGACAGACAGATAGATAGATAGATAGATAGATAGACAGACAGACAGACAGACAGACAGATAGATAGATAGATAGACAGACAGACAGACAGATAGATAGATAGATAGATAGACAGATAGATAGATAGACAGACAGACAGATAGATAGATAGATAGATGTAACTGTAACTGTAACTGTATCTGCAACCTGTCATGGCTGTTCCTTTTTGTTGGGTTTGGGACTTGCAGATGCGATGACTGAGGCAGCTTTATGCGTCAGAGGTCCTTGTTTGGATTGTCTTCATATTCCTCTCGCTGATCCTAGCCAAAGTGCTAGCAACAGTGTGATCCTCAAGTACTGAGTGGAGATTGCAACAGCCAACAACTCACTCCTCCAGTCCTATTGTCCTTTGGACTTGCCCCAGCATTTAAGTCCAGAGGTTCTGGTGCCTTGTTCTCTAGACAGGATGTTTATGTTTTGATTGACAGTCTTTCTTGTGCTTCTCCTGCGTTGGGCATGCCCATCAGCATACGTCATCACCGGGAGGAACCAACATGACACTGCAGCAAAAGCGGATCGGAACAACTTCTCAGCATGACTCATGCAAACAAAACATGCAGTGGTCCTAAGTTCAATAACCTGTGTCTTGCAAGTTGCGTTGCGCATCCACTCTTGTCATGTGTGCGATGTAAAAGTGTCATAGACATGCATTTCATTTATACGACTCAACTTTATTATTTGTGCGAAACATCTTGCAGACGAGCCCGCTCCCATGTGCACATTGATGTGGCAGTTGCGGGACTGTTCAGTTCAAAAATGATCTTTCGCAGCCCCATCCTCTTTCAGAGCAGATCTTGAAGAGAAGTGCGCAAAGCACGACTATGATTTATAATTTACTAGTCGGAAGAACTGTACTGGTACGATCTGGTACGAACATGTTCGTGCATGTGATTTAAGATAACCAGATCGATTATTGACACAAACTGTGGCATTGCATTCATCGCGGAAACGCTTTGAGGTGGTTCACTTGCTTGTGACGTGCTGGAAGATCCGTCAGTATCGAGCTCTCATTCACACAGCTGTTCATGATCAGGACAGACTGACACAATAGGAAACATTGTGAAACACTTGCAATCAGTCGCTGTGAGTTGGCATTTTTCGGATGACAATGGGAGAACAGACACAGAGAAACTGTGTCTTGGACTCCCAGGAGTGCAGGGAAGGAAGTCGAGTGCGCCACATCAGAAGCCCAGAGTTCAGAATGTATAAAATACAGATGTCCAGAAATTGTCCAGATGGATTTCCACTTTTCAGGGGTTTGATATATGGTTTTATCAGTTCCGCATCTTGAATACTTGGTGCTTCCTGTTGGTTCTGGCATCCTGCCGGATCCTGTATTCACAGGTTTGTATTCCGTGCCGTCTTTTTTTGTAAAAACCACAACATTATTCACTATTCTATTATATTCTATTCATTATTCAGACCATTGTGCGACTGCAACTTTTTCCAAGTGCTTTAAGACTCTGCGCCTCTGTACAGGATCCGCCCCGCAGGTACGCAAAGTGTTGATCTGCCATGCCTCTGTCGGATCTGGACATTCGAGAGCTGCTCAGGCATGGCATCCGGGCGGACCGGGGAACAGGGGTAGCCACGATGTCAACTCATTTGGTCCCTCTTGCAGATGGAGGGCGAGCGAGGGGTGGACATGTCAAAAGGTAGCATATGGGAAGCTGGTCTGCTTGACTGGTTGACTAAGTAACTATTTGGTTGACTAATCTCTCCCCCCATCTCTACCCCTCCCCCTTCCTCTCCCCCTCCCTCTTTCTCTCTTTTTCCCCCATGGCAGTCACTCAATGCTGAGACTTGCTCCAAGTGCGCTCAATGAGATTGGCTCAATTTACTCAACGGATCAACAAATGGTAACCAAGCAACCAGCCAATCACTAAGTCGATCAGGCTTTCATGCGCTGGAGCTCTCTCTCTCTCTCTCGCAATGATTCACTTCCTCATTCATCACTTATTCCCTGACACAATCATTCAAAGTTTGATTGCATCGACTGGAGATGTAAGTGCAGATGCAATTAGCTGAAGCTTGGTCTTTGCAACCAGCATTGCAACATGGTTTGCAGTAGGTCCTAGACTAGATTGCAAAATACAATAGGACGGCGGCTCTGCGCCTATTGCGATTGTGGCCTTTTTGCGTATTTACCTTGCAGGATCCAACTATCGTATGACCATATTCCCACCAAAACGGCACCTGCCGATGCTCACCTTGTCTGAAAGAACACAACATTTCTCACACAGATCGCAAAAAAAACATATGCCATTGCATTTGCTCATTTGTCTAAACTAGTCTAAATTTTATCAAATCATGTCAAATCTTGTCACAAACTACAAGATTGTGTACCGAAAGTACCATCCCTTTAATCCCTTTCCAATCGTTTTGATTGTACCTGGACCATCGAAGTTTCTTGCCGAAGTTCTTTTGCTATGGTTGAACATTTGGATGCCTTCATTGCGTGGAGTCGAATTAAAAGATCCGGGCAAGGACCAGGCACCAAGTCACTCTGTTTCAAGCTTACAGTTTGACAATGTTTGACGGGATTCAGACTTTTCAAGCTTGTCTTTCCCAGCAGGGTCGGCGCCGACATCATCCGATTGAGATGCTCTGAAACAATTTGCTTTCTCTCTGGGTTGGGTGCAAAAGCATTTGGCAGAATGAAGCATCATTTCTGCGACATATGAAGTGGGCCAATCAGTACATGGGCACTGTTTCTTTTTTTTCTCTTGAGCCTCAATCATATACCAGATGGCCGTTGATGCCCCCCCCCACTGGGCAGAAAACCCCTAGTGAACAAAACCAACAAAACTCAAACAGCGACGATTAAATTGGATGTACTGGTAATTGCCACTCAAGCTAGGACTCGGGCTGGCGTTGGAATGGTTCTGAGTTCACTTTTGTGTTGGCATTGTGAGGCTCTGGCATCTTCCCTTCATCGATTGGACCCTTCTGTGGAAGTCCGATTGGTCGATCTCATGGAGCCCCCATATGCAGCAGGAGCCCGAGAAGAGATAGCATCCATTGGATCATATATCTGACAAAACTGCAATCATTTATAGCCCCCATAGATACAAGATGATCAAGATGATACATGCCTAGAACGCGCCGACTTTCCTCAATTGATTTCAACGCAAATTTGGCTCCAACCGAAGAATTCTTAGGATCGGACATTGATCTATTTCTACAAAGATTGGTGCGCCTGACTTTCTCAGATTTTAAAGGGTGGTTGTTATGGTTTGTTTGGGACAGACTTGCGATGAAGCCTTGCCAGAGGTACTTGAGACTGGTTGGTGGCCAAACCGCCTGCGGTGAGTTGGGTGGGCACTTTGTCGGCTTCCTTTTTGACCGGGCCAACAATGTTGGAGACTCTTTCACTGGGGGGAACGCCCTGCAGCGCCGCATTACACAGAGCTTCCTGCTGAACTTTCTCCAGCTAGTGTTGGAGTCTGAGCAAACTTTTTGAGAAAGCTTGTGTTGGATGTACCTGTATGCGTTTAAGAATGTTTTGAATGGTTTAGGTCCTATGTGATGTAATATGGTATGTGGAAGTTGTGGAATACATCTAGCATCCGAATGAAGGCGCCAAGTCACTGACGGTGACAATACTGAAAGATCCAGCTAGATTTACGCAAGGGTCTCCTGCTCTGAGAACATGCGTTTTTTGGCGGTCTCCTCATCTGTTTTTTGACCTCTTGGCTGCCAAAGTATTCACACCTGACAAGATTGATAAGTCGCCGGAAACAAGAGAGGAGCCTTCTGCCTTACAAGAAGGAAATGGCACAGAATGGTCTTGTAACTTTCCACTTGTTCTAGTGCTTCTGGTGAACCAAGGTGTGAGATGAAACCTGACATTTTGGCAAAGCTGGCAAGTATTTGATTCTTGATGTTTGGGATTTGTTCCAAAGTATTTACATCATTTTCCAAGTTGCATGGGGTCTTGAAAGGATGCGTGTCATTTCTAGGAAATGAAGCAATTTATATAATATAAAACAAATGACATGTATATAAACTACATTTTCAAACTCTATGCGCACACACACACAGCTGCTTCAGATCAACAACCCCCAGCTTTAATCATTGAAGGCTTTGGAACCCTAGCTAGGTTCACACGCATTTTCTTGCGCCTGAACTGGTTGCTTCCTTACGGCGAAGGCAAGATCTGAACAGGAGTGAAACTGGGTGGAGAGTTGGGCACAACAAACTTGCCAATTGCGATTTTCCCGTATTGTTGGAGGCATGGATTGAAAGTTCCACAGGTGACCGTCGCCCAGCGCTCAGTTGCTTGTGAACTCGTGAGCCGCGAGGAGCAATATATTTCACATCATTTTCACTAAGGTCACGGATATGGATGTCCATGCGTGGTGGTTTCAACAGCAGCTCAGCTGAAGTGCTCAAGTGCTAAGTCCACTCTGATCTCCATCTCTATCCGTATCCAGCATGCCGAGGCCAACGGACCAGTATTTTGTCCCGAGGGAGGTAGCACGCGGCCAAGGTGATCGCAAAACTGGAAGTGCTCGATCACCCTCTGTGTTTACAACATCTCACAGCTGGTATTCAGACAATCCTTGAGAGAATCAGATACTCAGACCACTAACCATTTGTGGGCAGGTTTATGAGGGCAGTCATCGAAGACGAAACGAAACAAAGCTGGTTGAAGCAGCAAAGAAATGGTGTACCAGGAAACCAAAATGAGCAACTAAGGAGATCAGCAACTGCCTTTCCTAAAAGAGTAGAAATAGGAACATGTCTCAGAAAAGGTACATGATCCAATACCATTTGAGATGAGCTCTTGCTGCGAAGCACAGCTGTTGCACAATCCACCTTGGCATCAAGCCGTTGCATGTAGCTGCATGCCAAGTATCTGTGACCAGTAACCATTCCTAGCTGTTGCATCATGGTAGCAATATGCGATAGTTTCCTGAGGCTAAATTCCAACTCGCAGCTGATGGAGTCCCTGAGAGTGATATCACAGTCAGTGGAATTCCGCATGCTTGGCATGTTTGGAAATGGGAAGGGATGGTGAACCTTCCAGCATGATCAGCATGTTTGGCAACACTTCTTAGAATTGCAATATCTTCAAAGGAACGCTGATAGGTGTGATAGGTTATGTTCGGTCTGATTGTTGCTCAATCTCACTCGGCAGAAGCCTATGAAAGACACTCACATGAAATGCGTGCACGCACTTACTTTCCAGACGTTTTTCTTGTTTGCCTGGGTAGTTTCTGCAGGATAATGCCTCAATTTCAAGCCCTTAGCTTAGCTTGGGAAGCTGCCAGAGCGCAAGTTTGAAATGGCCCCATGAAGCCCGTCCAATACGTGTACCGTACCGGTGCTGTATCGGTCCTCCAAGCAAACAGGCAGCCTTTGCATAGACTGCTTGGCCACCCTGTCTCAAGTTTCTTCGTGCTCCTTTAGCTACAACCAGGAAAGCTAGAGGTCTATCACTGTCACCATTGCATCAATTTACAAAAGATACATTCATTTGCATCAATTGCATTCAATTGCATTCCAGGTCATGGGGGCAGAGTCTGATGAGAGGGCACAAGTCCCGAAGAAGTTCTGGACATCATGACGTCGTCATGACCTGCAGCGAAGCGCTGAGGACACTCTCAAGGCTCTGCAAAATCTTTCCAAGCGCGAGAGTCGACTGCGCTTCCTGCGTGAGATGGAGCGGGACTTGGAAGCTGGAGTGTTAGCCAAGAACATCTGAAGTTCTGATGGAAGTTCAGTGCAGAGCTGTTCAGGTTCAAAGATGATCAGACTAGACATGACTAGATCAGGTAAACAGATGGATACAGATGTGTACAGTATGGGCTACGGCCTGCCAAGGATGCATCGCTCCACGATGCTTTTTTACCTGACTGTGACCGACCTGTGGTCGTACAGATGTCGACTGGCAGGCACACTTCATTAGCTTGTTTGACGCCCACTGTTCTCAAAGCAGTAAGTTTCTTGAACTCTTGCGTTTGCGATATTTGCGCAGGAGCGTGCGTCACATCTTCAAGAGCTTGGTAAAGATGGACCTGCACCGAGTTGAGAGTTGCAGTGAATGTCCAAGTTGGATGCAATTTGAGCCACAGCAGCCACCAGCTTTTGAAGGAAACGCCTGTGATTCTGGTCGTGGTCTGCGGTCGTCAAGCAGATGCCAGGCAGCAGTCAATCCCTCAGAGAGTTGGGACCTTCGACATTTGAATCAGATCGAAGCATGCTTCAACTGCGACGACAGCAGCATCTGATAGCATCATATGATTCTTATTGATTCTTTATATGAATCAATCTATGAATCAATCTATGAATCAATCTATGAATCAATCTGAATCGTATGTTTTTCCATGATTTTCCTGTATTTTTCTGGTCCTTCCATTTCTGTCCAATCTGTCCAAACTCGCCTCTTTGCGTCATGCACCTACGTCGCACCTAGCTTTTGCTGAGGCTGGAGGAGATCGAGGTTCCAGAAAGGCCACGACCCATGAAACCACACAGAGAGGCATGACACATATGACACAACATCTCTGTATAATTCTGTGTATATATGCATATATATATATATATAAATATGTATACATACTTTATATTCCTATACCTATATGTATATTAAATGACAACTTTGTATTGTTTTGACATGTTTTGACCATGTTGAAACGTTCAGCCGAGTTCACCTCAGGCACAAGGTTGCTCTTCTTGGATTCACATCGCCGCTTTCTCAGGATCGGGTGTGTTTGTTTGTTACAATTTGCCATGAAATTGTGCAATTGAACAAGAAAAGTTTGACCGCAGACAAAGATGACGATTCATGGTACTGCATGATTCAAAAAAAAAGTAAAATTTGGACAACGACTGTGCCACTCCGCTATCTTGTCCTGACTATGTGTAGTTGTGGACTGCGCGACCGAGGTGCATTCACGAACTCCTTGCCATAGCTGACGTGGTCATATCCAAGCTCGGGCCCCGACGTGGACATGCTGAAGAACACTGACGATGTGCTATTGGAGGACCCTGAACTGTTGACATAGCTGACACAAGGCCAGGCGGTCTCATAACCTCAGAAGCACTTGCTTGCGGTCTGATGATGGACGCACTGCCGCGTTTGAACCCAATGCTATTTCTTGCGATTCGTATTGCAGCATGTTTGCATTAGCATGCATTAGCGCCAATGCGATACTACATCCTCAATGTATGTATGTATGTATGTATATATATATATATTCGGCCATTAGCAAACATTCTTAGGTGGAAAGTATGAAAAGGCGGGACTTGGAAAATACATGTTGACAGTATATGACAGCATCCCATAACGCCAGGTTGTGGTGGATCCATATCCTGGACAAGAAGAGAGAAATGCATCCATGCTCTTGGAAGAAGGAGCAGGCACTGCGCCGGCGGAGCTGCTTCAGGTGCCTATTGCAGTTTGCATAGTTCGCTGCTTGCGTGGCAGGTATTTGGATTTGGGACTATCGTGATGCTCCATTCAGGCAACGGTCTTTTTGAGGTCTGCCAGAATGCAGCACCACAGCCATTTTCAAGAAAACATCAGACAACTACGTTCAAAGACAAAGTGCAAACTCCAAGAATTCCTCCATGTCTCAGTAGAATCTTGAGTGCCGTAGGTTGGACCGAATCCTTTCTGCTCCATCTGGATCCAAGTTCTCCCTGGCGTGGTACAGACAAAATGTGGGCTTCCAAGGTTCACCTAAGACCTAGCCACAAGGTGCCACTCAAAAGCAGATAGACTCAGACAGATCGATCGTTCAGAGATCTTTCTGTTCGGCCTTGCTTGGCCCAAGGCCAGACGCATTGCAAAGCCAGATGCAGCCTTCATAGTTGCCAGGCGTGGATTCTGATTCACTCCGGCAGGTCACAAATGATAGCTGAGAATCACTGCATTCGAGACATATGATAACACTATGATAACACATAACATGCAGCTCGGGGCCTTGGTCCGCGTCTAGGAACCCCATGGACTGGCAGCTATGGGAGTTGGTATGTCAAAATCAAGCAACTATCAGCAATTAGCTGTGTAGTTTGTTTGTACAACAATAGGGACGGTACGACAACGGGCACGCAGCAGCGCACTTCCCAATACTGCGCTCATCACTGCATTGGCCCAGAGGCAACTATGCCAAAACGTTTGAACATGTACAGTATTCCTACATTAACCTATGTCAGTCAAAACTGAGCTTAATGAATGGTGCACATTGGTGCAGTGATGACTAACTCAAGATCGATGTCAACTTGATACATTGAAGCTGCCGGCACAGCTGTGGTTGCTGAAGTTGCAGGTATGTCCTCAGCGACGCTCCACGACAGCGGATGATGCAGGAGGTCCCTGGCAGCCGTTGTAAAGACATCCGACACCATGTCAGAAAGAGACAAGATGAACGTGAAAGGCACTTTTGATAAAGCAGCAGAAATAAAAAGACCATAAAGACCCAACACGGTAAAAAGTCTTAGATTAACGCAGAAGTAACTTCGCTAATATAAACTGACAAATGTGTCTACATCCCGCAGGTAAATCTTTGCTTCCTATTGTCGATGAATCCGAGCCTATCTGTCAATGACACACCGGCTATTGATGCAGCCTATCGGTCCGGTGGAATTGTTGTGAGGTGAATATGGCGAGCACGGGGGACGCGAACAATGGAGACCTAGAGACCCCTGGAGCTGATCAACCTCCACTTCATACTATCCATACTGTCCACACTCAGGGAACCGTTTGGTCGACGTGACTTGGCGGAGTTGGAACTCAACTGCTTTGCTGTAGAAGGACTGAAGGAGCTAAGTCACAGCTAAGTGTCTCCTGTATAGTGCACTCTACAGCATGACTGGGCCATGCTGAAGAGAGCTCTGATTGCCGTAGAGCCTTTGTGACCGTGTCAAGCGCTTTATCACTTTGAAGAGACGAGATTATTCCAATTTATTCCACCTTTCTGAGGATGCCTCCAATCGGAAGCAGCCGAAGCGTCTATTCGGAAGAGAAGGCAACATGTTTTTCGATCAAACTGATATAGTGTGTAGTTTTCTTTCTTTTCTTTGAATTCGTAAAATAGCCAGTATAATCCAGTATATGTAACTGGGTGCTTATCTCATTGTAATATGGACAATACCTCTCCGCTTTGCCAACCCATTGAAGCCATTTTTCATTTTCGAGGAAACTGCGCCAAGGGTAAGAAGACCAGCGCCCGTGTCCAGCCCCAAGTACTGTGCATCCTCTGCTCACCCTGTGCATTGCTTGAATCTTTGAACATGTTGGCATCGTTTGGCGATGCTTCACCTCACCTCGTCGCTTTCCTTCACAAGTCTCAGTGCCAAGCTGAGGAGGCGATTGGGTATGGAGGCCTTTGCGCAAATGAAGGCAGCCCGTGGACTTTCAAAATCTGTTGGGGCCGGAAGCATCAACTTGCTTGACTGGTGTGCTTCTACAATCTTCTACTGTCTTTGTGCCATGCTCACAAGATGGCTATTATATATATATATATTATATATACACCCATGATAGCGATTCTCACATCCAAAATGATCTATATACTGATCTAGTAAGTTTCTGTGACCACCCTGAAGGTGTTGGATGCAAATGCAGTTCCACACAACGGAGACAGCGAAGACAGCAGTGACACAGAGGAGGCCTCGAGTGAGAGTGCCTCGTACATCCAGGCGGGCACGAGCTCGATCAGCACGGACAACGATGATTGAGATATGTCGAGACATAGTTGCGACTGCGACATTAATGATTAATCACTATTAATCAATATATATATATACATATAATATAATATATATATAATATTTGTATAATATATATATATATATATATAATATTTGTATAATATATATATAATGATTATAATATATATATAATAATAATGTATATATATATATACACATCAATATTAATGATGTCGGGGACATTGCAGTTGCCGCAACTCACAGCATTTGATCTATGAAGGTTCATGGAAACTGAGCTCAGACCAGAGTAGTGGCTGAGCTTCATCGCTTCATCGGTGATCTGCCGCGAAAGAGCTGCAGAAATCCATCCCGCAAAATGTGAGTGGCAGACACTGAGATGGCCAGCTTTTCAGCAGAGTTGAGTGCTGTGATCCGGCAAAAATGAATTCACATACTTCCCATATTCTTCATTTACGTACATGTATGCAATCAAAATAGGCTCAAGGATGATACTCATAGAAGTCAGTGGAACGCCATGGCCAGCATCTCAGACCTTTGAACGCGCCAAGTTTCTCCTACTCTGTCAGGCATGCTGCATGCTTTCAGATACTTTGAGATCAAGTGGTTTCAGTTTGTACATGTCTGGCCGAGACCACGGACGTCCCAGAGTTGCATTTGGCAAAATCCTGCCGTGTCGGAGTTGATGCCTCAATAGCCGAAATGGGCTGTGCAGAGACAGGTCAAACATGTTCGAGAGCTAGGTCAGTGCAGCATTACCTATTTTCTGGTCAGACCTCCGTGCAAGGTGGAAACCAAAGTGCCGATCGCAGCAAGCTCAGTTTCAGATTCATTGGGTTGCAGCATAGTGAAGCGCTTTTGGGCCCAAGATCTTGAGCAAAGCATAGGAAAGCCACACTGGTTGCATTTGATCGCTGAGTCTACTTGACAGACTTGACAGTCAGAATTAGGATGCTGATCTCGGGCACCTGGGAGTGGACCTCAGAATGAACAAGCTATAGCAGCTACCGATAGCCATAGTTTGTTTTGACAGTGAGTGAGAGCAAGTTTGAAGACATGTCTTTGTTGGAGTCAACATCTTCATCGCACTTTGTCAAGAAAGCTACCTGTAGCTAGAGCTGCTCTTGCTTCGAGGATTTTTTGAGCTCAAGTATGAACCCACTTTCCATCACCAACTCCATCCCAAGCCTTCGCACAATCTAGAAATCAGAGTTTCCAAATCAGACGCTCCACATATTTGGGATCTTCAATGCTTTAAGGGGTCTTGAGTAAAGGTTCCGAGTAAGGATCCCAGAATAAATCCGAGGTGCGAGGTCATGCTGGAAGCGAGCGTGAAAGATCACTAAACGGTTTCGAGTACAGGTTTGAAATAAGGGGGAAGCCAGGAAGAAGAGAGACTTTTGCCATCTTTGAACTGTATGTGGGACGAAGTGATGAACACGTTGTGTGCTTGTTGGTTGGGTTCTCGCGTGCCCTTTTATCCTGCCTGTGGTTGTGCTGGGTTGTGCTTATTTACCCCTGGGCTTGCTGTTTTGATCATAGAAAAGCAAACACATTTACAGATTCTGTGTGAAAGCCTCCAAAGGCCATGACCAGCAGCTGGCGGGCAAGATCTTGAAAAAGCGCCGTGATGAAATGGCACGGCGCATGCGCTTGCAAATCTGACTTGTTTTTGGGACGAGCCAACAAGACCCAACAAACCCAGCGAGACTTGCAAGAGGAAAGAATTGCAGTGCTACTTTCATGACTGATGATTCACTGATGATGCTTGAGCCAGTGACTGCCACTTACTGCGACTATCTCTCGACAATCTCGATGCCGTGTTTGTCAAGACTTTGGCGTCTCAATTTTCAAGTGATTGATCAGGCTTGACCCCAGACAGCGAGTTGGCGGAGTGCCTCACGAGGCACGCCAAACCAGTTTGCGTCATTTTGCAATCACAGTTTATATACAAGGAAAGAATTATAATTAGGATTAATTAGGGTCTTTAGTCTTTAGATGTCTTTAGACTTTCGTGGTAGAATTCAAGGCTCAGAGTTTGTCATTGGCTCTTTGGCAATTTTTCTCGCCCAGGTGATTCACACTCAGATGGCCGTGAAACAAAGTGCCCTAGATGTAACTTGGCAAACGTTGGGCATTCTAATTTCAGGTGGTTTCGCACACAACAGATACTACTCCTCTGAGAGCTTGACGATACTTGCTGAGACAAAATGAGGCTCATTGAATCTCATTAACACAAAGCGAATCAACATGACATGATGTACTGTAACTTTTCTCCCAAGTTGCATATATAGCTTGGATCCTGTCAGCGGCTACATATTGACCAAATCATATTGTGTGCACTTAGGCTGAGAAAGCCGAAGATGCATTCTATGCCCAGAGTGCTGTGTTGCAGGAGACATGGGATATGTCAGCGCTGTTTGAATTAGCTTGAACCGCTTACTTTGAGATTCTCTGCGCGTGAACCAAACATTTGTTTTGTAATATAACCCAGGACCAAATCTTGCAAGCGGTTGAGAGTATGAAGGCCACTTTATCTAAGAGATGTCCAAGGAGCCGGTTTGTGTTTATTGTGTTTGCATTTTCCATTTTGACTTGATATGTTCTGGTCGTCTTTACGACAGGCCACGCGTGCCAGGGAGCGGCAAATGGAAGTGGTGGATTACTCACTGGCAAACTTGCGAAAGGACCACGTTTTTTTGGTGTTGAATGAATCTTTGGAGAACGAGACCAAATCTACAACCCATATTTCTGCCAATCTGTCTCAGTCGCACCTTTAGACAAGCATGCCTGCTAGGAACAGCGCCGGGAGTATGAACTTAGTGATCCCAACGCCCTCAAGAAGTATGTCCTGTCCTGGACTTAGACAATTTAATGCACATAAGCAGCATGACATATATACCTGAAGGATTCAACAGAAAACAACAAGATGAACAAGATGTGTCATGAGTCATGTGGCAGCAGCAAAGAAGTGAAGCCAAGGCCAGATCCTGATGATCCAGCAAATCCATTGGGACCAAGCTCTATGCTGAAGCCTCTTGGTTTAAAACTAGACTTCCAAGGGGTCCAGGGAACGGATTTCATGTGGGAAGGGAATGACATTGAGGTCGTGTTTCGCGAAAAGGTTGAACTGCTTCGATTTTGGATCTGGAAATTACAAACTTCTGTTGCAATGATTGCAATGCAACAATGCGACTCCAGGATCAGATTGAGTTTAGAGAAAGGTTGACTTGCAGAACTTGATGATTTTCTCATATTTTCTCAAGTCTCCAGCTTTTTTCCTGAGGTTTTCTAGCCAGAGCATGGGACTCAGGTGTACTCAGGTTGCCTCAGCCCTTTGTGTCAGTACAGAAAGTGCTGAGGCCAACAAAGTGCAGAGAAGAAAAAGCAAGGTCTGCGCGCGTATTGCCACTCTGAATTGGGGGTGTATCAAAGACACTACTGGTTTAGCCTATTGCACACAATCAGGGATCGCATCATTTGGACACAGCAAATTCGAGGCCAAGAAGAACTTTCGACCTGGCTGGCGTAGAGAGCTCAAGACTATCACTTGTGTCGTTGCCTTCCGGACTTCTTAGTTGCTATGCCGTGACGCACTAAGGGCACAGGTGCAGGAGAAGAAAGATCGTCTTGCATATGAGCAAGAATTTGATCGCATTCACGACGAGCGAGCTGGTCCCTCAGAGATTCATAGAGTTTGCATGATTTTGCTTACTCCATGAACTCCACTCAGCCCGTTTTTGACCATGGCGCACTGCATGCTCTGCTGAGGCTATGCTGTCAGCGCGCGTCCGTGCAGTTTGTGAAGATACGGAGATGCAGGAGAGCAATGCGATACAGCGTGTTGAAACAAAGCTCAGATGGTTTGACTTGGTTTGCTTCTGCCGTTTGCAGAGATCATGGGGACACGGTGTGCATTTTAGATCCATTTTCTTTGAAAGGAGCAGCAGGACGCAAAGTGTGAAGAAGCAGCAGAGTGCCTCTACTACAGAGGTCTTTATGCCTCTACCATCCTCTACCATCCTCTACCATTTCCTTCTCTCGAAATATTTCCAAAAGAAAGAGTGCCAATGGCCGCAGCATTTTTCTTCTCTAAGGAATGCGCGATTGGCCAAGCTGGTGCTGGAACAGCGGAAGGCCAGAGGATTTCCAATCAAGAAATCCGATGAAAGCCATGTGCACCTCACTCAGTACCGTCAGGATTTGCAGCCCAGCGGTCTTGCAGTTGCTATCAAAACCAGATACTCTAATAATGGCTTTGTGCTACAGTAGCTGAAATAAAGAAATTGATAGGACGAAATTGATAGGGTGTGGTAAGACTCAGGAGGGCACATCGTTATGTTTGAAAGGATGTTTCCAGGGGGAAGAGAAGCTTGACGCACAGACAACCAAATTTTGAGATTGGCGCAGGCCAAAAAAGAAGCTGATGATGCATGGAAGCAGCGCCACATAGAGACAGCTACCACCTCAGTTTTTTTTTGAGGTTTTTATTCTGACTTTTCTGATTTGGAACATCCTGCTGCATGTTGCATCACGTTTAAACTGCATTTCTACCTATTTGTATTATTAGTTTTTTCTTTCGCATTTCTGCTTTTCCATTTTTTCCCAGAAGAATCTGCAAGACTTAAATTGCACGTGGCCAGGTCATGAACTCCGAGAGGATGAACGAATCGGTGGATTCCAAAGTGGGCTTCACTGGAAGGCTGTTGAAGGCTGAGTACAAAAGGCTGTCCCTTGAACAGGAGCAGGCACGACCTGGATTCTCTGGATCCTATCCCGGGCACTGCCTGTTGTTTTTCATGTTTGAGACGAGAGTTGCTGCGCTGAGACGCACTTGCAGTCACTGGCAGGATGTCTACAATTCCAATGCGAGACAACTGATTGACAAGCTGTCCACGAAGCAAGCCCACAAAGAGGAGGAGGCCATGTTGCTAATTTTTTTGCGTCTTTTCCTGGTTTGTTAGACCGAGAATTTAGGTGGACAGACCCGACTGGACCCAGGATGACCCAGGGCTATGTAGGCTTGTTTCCCCAGGCTGCTGAAGCCTCCAGAATCAATTGCTCTGTCGCTCTGCTACGGACAAAGGGCAGGAGTTGGCAGAAACAGAAACAGATGTGCATTGATATGTATTAATTGATGTATTAATTGATGCATCAATTGATGTATATATTGATATGTATTGATATGTATTGACATGTATTGATATGTATTGATATGTATTGATACGCGCAACGCCTGGGTTCTGCCCAGGCGTTGCAGCGTATATATCTACAATTCACAAACAAATGATATTGCAAATTACAGTAATTCCTATGGGAAAAATAACAAAGGTATTAGGGACTATTAAACAAACAAGGTCAAAACACCCGAAATTCCTATGGGAAAAACAAAAACAGCATAATATTTGAAATTTCTATGAGAAAAACAGAAAAGGTACTAGGAAATTTTAAACTCTCAAATCGTGAAACTTAACATTCAATTAGGAAGATCAACAAAGATATTAGGGAATGTTAAACTCCCACCCCCATTAAACCTTAAATTCCTATGGGAAAAACAGCAAAGGTACTAGGGACTATTTAAAAAAAAAGGGTCAAAAAACCCGAAATTCCTATGGGAAAAACAAAAACGGTATTAGGGAATATTAAACTCCAACCCCCGTTAAACTTTGCATTCAATTGGGAAGATCAACAAAGATATTAGGGAATATTAAAACTCCCACCGCCGTTAAACTTCTACATTCATTGAAGATCTTCAATAAGGGTTTAATTGTCCCACCCCCGTTAAACTTCTACATTCATTGAAGATCTTCAATAAGGGTTTAATTCTCCCACCCCCGTTAAACTCTTACATTACATTCATTGAAGATCTTCAATAAGGGTTTAATTCTCCCACCCCCGTTAAACTTCATTCACATTCATTGAAGATCTTCAATAAGGGTTTAATTCTCCCACCCCCATTAAACTTCTACATTCATTGAAGATCTTCAATAAGGGTTTAATTCTCCCACCCCCGTTAAACTCTACATTCATTGAAGATCTTCAATAAGGGTTTAATTCTCCCACCCCCGTTAAACTTCTACATTCATTGAAGATCTTCAATAAGGGTTTAATTCTCCCACCCCCGTTAAACTTCTACAGTCATTGAAGATCTTCAATAGGGTTTAATTCTCCCACCCCCGTTAAACTTCGACATTCATTGAAGATCTTCAATAAGGGTTTAATTCTCCCACCCCCGTTCAACTTCTACATTCACTGAAGATCTTCAATAAGGGTTTAATTCTCCCACCCCCGTTAAACTTCTACATTCATTGAAGATCTTCAATAAGGGTTTAATTCTCCCACCCCCGTTAAACTTCTACATTCATTGAAGATCTTCAATAAGGGTTTAATTCTCCCACCCCCTTAAACTTCTACATTCACTGAAGATCTTCAATAAGGGTTTAATTCTCCCACCCCCGTTAAACTTCGACATTCATTGAAGATCTTCAATAAGGGTTTAATTCTCCCACCCCCGTTAAACTTCGACATTCATTGAAGATCTTCAATAAGGGTTTAATTCTCCCACCCCCGTTAAACTTCTACATTCATTGAAGATCTTCAATAAGGGTTTAATTCTCCCACCCCCGTTAAACTTCTACATTCATTGAAGATCTTCAATAAGGGTTTAATTCTCCCACCCCCGTTAAACTTCTACATTCATTGAAGATCTTCAAAAAGGGTTTAATTCTCCCACCCCCGTTAAACTTCTACATTCATTGAAGATCTTCAATAAGGGTTTAATTCTCCCACTCCCGTTAAACTTCTACATTCATTGAAGATCTTCAATAAGGGTTTAATTCTCCCACCCCCGTTAAACTTCTACATTCATTGAAGATCTTCAATATAAGGGTTTAATTCTCCCACCCCCATTAAACTTCTACATTCATTGAAGATCTTCAATAAGGGTTTGATTGATGATGATGATGATGATGATGATGATGAGGATGATGATGATGATGATGATGATGCGTCGCCCGTCGTCGTTGCGGGTCCGGGCAGAACCCAGGCATTTGCCGTATTGATATGTATTGATATGTAGTGATATGTATTGATATGTAATGATATGTATTGATATGTATTGATATGTAGTGATATGTAGTGATATGTATTGATATGTATTGATATGTAGTGATATGCATTGATATGTAGTGATATGTATTGATATGTAGTGATATGTATTGATATGTAGTGATATGTATTGATATGTATTGATATGTATTGATATGTAGTGATATGTAGTGATATGTAGTGATATGTATTGATATGTAGTGATATGTAGTGATATGTAGTGATATGTAGTGATATGTATTGATATGTCGTGATATGTATTGATATGTAGTGATATGTATTGATATGTACTGTAGTGGTATGTATTGATATGTAGTGATATGTATTGATTGTATTGATACGTAGTGATATGTAGTGATATGTAGTGATATGTAGTGATATGTATTGATATGTATTGATATGTATTGATATGCATTGCACAAATGGGATTAGACTAGACTCTAGACTGCCCTTAAATTGCTGTCATGGGTGGTGATAGCGCGGGTCGTGGCACTGCACTGAGGTTGCAGTGCTAGGTGCACTTGAAGAAGAGCGCGTTCGACAGCAGCAGGACAAATCACTGTCGAGTGCCGAGCTGTGCACATGGGGTTCACCTCACCCATGAAGATGCTATATCAGTCGTATCTTATTTCGTATAGACCTTGAGTACATATGAACCCATGCACATATGTATAGTATATATTAGTATATTATATATATATATATATCTCATATCTATATGTGCCCAGACATCTTTCTGCAGTACATGCACACACACACCATCACAAATGATCATATATGTATAAGTCACACTACAGAGAGCACAAAACAACTTGGCGTGAAATGGCATTGCATTACATGACAAATCAAAACGTCAGATGTCTAGGATGGAGCCACTGCCAATACCACTGCGACTGTTGCCTTTCAACTCCATTGCATCAAATTGCAGTGTGCCCATACACATAGCTTTCCAAGATATCGCATCTGCAGACATCCCTGGAGAAGAACGGTGTATAGTGGATGAGTTGAGTAAAACAGGAGCGAAGAATGAGGATCATTGAAGAGAACAAAAGGCTTGCAGCAGCTGGACCCTCAACCCTGGCATTCTTGGCATATCGTCAGTGGAATTCAGTGGATGCCATGGAGGCATCGGAGCATGACTGGATCTCCATGCCAGCTTCGCTGAGGCAAAGCGGGAAGCTGACAAGGAGGAGAGGAAAGAGTACTTCAAGTATGACCCGTGACCAGAGGATTGGCATTGCGTACTTGGCACCCACTGAATCGCAACATGATTTGGGCTGTGCCATGGCCGGCACATGTAGAATTTCTGATTCATGCGCTCGCTTGCCAGTTTCACAATCAAGCGGACAAATTGTGTTCCTCGCAAATGCGAGGTCTGACTTTGTTCATATGGATGTTTCTCATCAAGCATATTCTAGTATATTCTAGTATTCTATCGTCAGTTTCCCGTGAGCTTCCATTCTTAAGCTCTCAATGTGCGGCTCGCAGCCAGTTGGTCCAATTGGCACCTGGTTTCACAATTGCTACATGCTCCCAGAGAGCTGGTGTGACTGACGGCAATGAAAAAGAGCACGGCTTCGCAATGTTTGGGTAGCAAGGGTTCAACCATGTTCAGCCCCATTTCTCATGGTGAAACATCATAATTTGATATAATTTGGTTTTCAACATATTTTGATGTTTCAAAGCGTTGGCACTTCCCCAGATATATATATATATACATCACATTTCCATGCATTTCCCTTCTTGTTTTGCATCCATGGATTCATTCGGTCTCTTGTATGCGGCAGTCGGGGCAGGTGTTTTCGTTTGCAACACGACACATGGCTCAAGCTTTTGCTTGAAAGCAGCATGAGCTTCCATAGAAGACCACAGATTCCAATGGACCCCTGCAAATCTATCGACGAGGGCATGAACCAGCCACAATTTGCAGACAAGCAACTTCACGAGCTGTGAGACGCAGACGTTACTCTATGCCAGTCAGAGGCGATCCAGACAGTCTCCTGGATTTCTCCTCAGACGAGCAGCAACATGGTGTTCGTTTGTGCATTTGTTGGGACCAGCGGTGAGTTTGATGGAAAGCCTGAGGTTGGCCGTCATGTCAATTTTGTGGACGATGTCCGATCTACTTTGAGGCAGGGCAAGTGCGCAAGTTTCAACATGCCATGGTATGAAGAGATTGCCCAGTTTCAACTTGCTGAACACTGGTCATTGTCTTTGGATATCAGTTGATATCAGAATTCGCATCCTCTCATTTTTCAGGCTGGGGGAAGAATGACAGAGGGTCGATCGAGATGTGACGTACTGATTGCCACCATCGTCACTGTCGTCATCATAACCACTATGACCAAGTCGCCATAGCCACCAAAATGAGGCAGGCAGCAGCTGACCGCTTTGATTTTGTGCCCAGCTCTAAGTCGCTAAAGCTTGGAAGGTTCAGCAGTGGCACTTTGCGGTGCTTCAGCAATTCTGGCCAGACTTCTTGAGCACTCACTTGACTCAAGAACTCTTGTTTAATTTTATTGTTTATCATTTCTACAGATGAGACATTCAACTGTCTGAGGTCCATACCATTGGCCGCTCCGCAAGGACAGGGCATTGGATGCGACTTTCAGCCCTCAGCCAGACTCCCAATTTGACTGGGTACATAGTGAACACAAACTCAGATTTGTCCTTTTCAATGACCATTCATTTCTTCACGCTTTTATACTTGTTCCTAACAAAAGCAAACATGGTCAAGTCGCATCTTCTGAATACATGAGATACATAGCTGATTTTCATCAAATCTCAAGCTAGAAGGCTGGTTTTGTTGCGAGGTAGAGTCCTGCTTCTCTTTAGAGGCGGTGTCACACTCTGTGTTTGCTTCGGTTTTCACTGGTCGTTGCCACTGCACCTTGGACACTCATTTGGCGGTTTTTGTGCATGGCGTTTTGTGAGTCCGTCGTGTTGTCGTACCCCTTGTATTGGGCACAGTGAAACTTGCGTGTTTCAGGGTGAGCAATGGCGAACAGTTGTGGTCGGCAGAGTCTCTGATTCGCTGGATCCAGACACAGCTGCTACATTTGCTGAAGCAGAGGTGCGCGACAGAGCGCCTTGTTTCACTGTCATAGTCAATCTTTAAGATATGTTTACCTGAACGGGCCGCTTTGGACTTGCTTGATTGTAGAACATTCTCACATAAGAACGGGCGCCACAAGTTTAATTCAGTGTAGTCTGCTTCCTAAACGTTGAAGCGGGAGTACTGTAGCTCGCTCCCTGCTGACAGCTGACATTTGAGATGCACTCCCTTGCAGACAGGTAAGTAGCCAGTGTAAAGGTAGTCGAGTGACTCCTTCAACTGGCAAACCTGGGTTCCCTTGCACTTTGTTTCTGTTCAAATACCCAATGTCGCAGTTCTTCAGAAACAGACAGCTGTGCAAGTTTGTATTCTGTGTGAGCAGTGGATGTTGTTCGTAGTTGCGATTGCAGTGCTTGTGTGCAGTTTGTATGCAGGTGCTGCGGTCTCAATTGGAGACGGAACTACGATGGGTGCCAATCTGTGTGCGAAGTTTGCTTAGAGAGCGAGACACAGAGAGAGAGAGAGAGCACGACAGGGGGAGAGAGAGAGAGAGAGCAGACTTGATGAAGGGGTACTTGATGAGACTACTGAAGTTGAACTGCTAGCGGCTAGCGCATGAGTGTGATTCTATAAGCGTCTCAAGCAGATTCTAGTACAGACCCAGTAGTTCTTTTTGAGCAGTAGCCTCTACCATGTTGTCGCCTTCTTATCTTGCCCAACTTTCAATTTCTATGGCTCCAGACAGCTTCTCATAACAATAAGCTTATGCGTTCCTGGTGTATGTGGAACGACAACACTGGCAACAATAAACGGCTCTCACAAAGTGCTTTTCTGACATCAGTAGAAATAAATAGGCACCTCAAATTCTGAATCAGCAGACTGATAGACATTGACGAAGCTGTGGAACTTAGAAAAACACTGACGCTGAGCATCACAATGCGACACGTCAAAGAAGACGAGCGAACGAGAACACGTTAACTTATCACAACCACAAGCAGGGATAAGCGGCAGCACTCACGACAAGTTTGGGTGAGCATTGAAGATATATCCAGCTGTGTATCTTCTTCTTGCTTTCGCTTTTGGTTCTCACTCTCTGGGGAGGTATGTCAAGTTGAGCGGAGCAGCGTTGTAGACTGTGATCAGTGGATCGCCCCAACCAAGACTTTGAAGAACAAGAACCATACCACCCCTCTGTGTCGGTGTGATGCTTGCTCATGGGTTGCCTTCAATCAGCTTTTTGGACCGGCCGGTGGTGGCTGTTAGATGTCAAGTCACTAGGAACAGTTAGACTTCATTGGCTGAGCAGCATTACTCATCATTATTCGCGCTTTTCTTGCTGAACTTGCTTGCATGCGCCATGCGCTGCTTGCAGGAGGGAACATTTCTGCGCCATCCGGAACAACAGAAGCCTGGGGCTTGAGTCTCTAGTTTCTAAGTTTTGGAAAGGCTTTTCAGATCTTTTCAGATCTTTTCAATATTGCCTTCTTGGGGATCTCTTGGGGATCTTGATCATCGGAATCATGGGGCCTTCGACAGTGTTACTTTATGGCCCAGCGCTGAGATCCTGTGAGGCTGCCAGATTCAGTTCCCGATTTTCCCGATTGTGAATCTGGAGAAAACACACAGCTTGCATCAGCAAAGTTTGCTGTCACAAGATCCATGGAGCCAGGGCTGAACTAACGACTTCAACCTTCAATTATCTTCATTATCTTCAATTTGCAACAGCACTGCACTCTTTGTCTTGTATTGGATCCATTTGGATCCAATGAAATGCACAGAGACTCGCCAACTGAAGAGACTCTGGAAACTCTGGAAACTCTGGAAACAAAAGGTACAGAGATTACAGAGACATAGCAATCATAGCCAGTCTCTTGTGATGCTTCCAGGAGATGCGAAGGCGGACACTGCCCGGTCACGACCAAGGACCCTCAGTAAACTTCGATCTGATTTATGAAGGCCGACGATCCAAATCCTTAAATGCTTAAATTACTTTACTTCGTGTGATCCCCACCATGACATTTATACATTTTGTTACAGGCAAATCTTCTGGCATTCTATCTGACATTTTATCTGGCATTCTATCTGGCATACCTTGTGGCATTCTATCTGGCATTCTATCTGGCATATCTTCTGGCATTCTATCTGGCATATCTTATAGCTTTCTATCTGGCATATCTTCTGGCATTCTATCTGGCCGTTGAGGTCCAACGGTGCACACTGAGCTGGGCAGGTCCCAGGTTGAGGTCCAGCGGTGCACACTGAGCTGGGAAGGTCCCAGGTTGAGGTCCAGCGGTGCACCTGGTAAGGTCCCAGGTTGAGGTCCAGCGGTGCACACTGAGCTGGGAAGGTCCCAGGTTGAGGTCCAGCAGTGCGCACTGAGCTGGGAAGGTCCCAGGTTGAGGTCCAGCGGTGCACACTGAGCTGGAAGGTCCCAGGTTGAGGTCCAGCGGTGCACACTGAGCTGGGAAGTTGGCAAAGAGCTTGGCGAAGAGTTGGCAAGGCGGAAGTTGAGGTGGAAGTTGATGCAGACATGGTCGAGGCGAAACAGGCGGAGGAGAAGGAGGAGGAAGAGGAGGAGGAGGAAGAGGAGGAGGAGAAGGAGGAGAAGAGCTAGCCGAGGAGGAGGAGAAGAACAACTCTGATAAAATCTAACAACCCTCACCTGGCAGGTGGGGAATGATCTTAAATGGTTTTGCAGTTGTATTTTTATCGAAATGATCGCAAGCCAACTACGATCAACTACGTAATTACTGACAGATTGCTCGAGCTGTGGAGGACTGCTGTATCTACAGTGCCAGCTGCACAGTCTCAATGCGAAGTACTTGAAGTGTCATCAGGCCTTGCTTTCTGTAGGGGAAGTCTTCCGATTTCGCACTCAGAATCTGTATTGTGTACAGCCGTTGACTCGTTCTGCTGGTTGAATGTTTGCTGAGTTTGCTGGCCCCGGGTATGCGAACTTGCTGGTGGTATAGTTTTGGGGGAAGTTCTGTGTGGTGGAATGAGTTGGAAAGAGCCCCACTGGCCCCACTTTTCGTTGTGGCATATGTTAAACTTTATTAAACTTTGACGTGAGTCGCTGGTGTTGGTCCATGGACTTACCTTGAAATGCCTGGTTTGCCGTCAGACTTCGTATCGTTTTCTCCGTGATGCTTTCTGCAGTGCTTGATGTGATTTTGTGAGAAGGTCCGCATCTCCGTGGCATAGTGGTTGCCTTGGCTCTTGAAGATCCCCAAAACCCAAGTATGGCGAAAGATGTGAACAGAATCCCTTCAAATGCCACTTAAGAGAAACATTGGAAAAATGTGGATCTTGTGCTTCCAACAGCATCCAAAAGTTGAGTAAAGAAAGCAGCGAATCGCACACAATCACATCCTTACAATCAATGATGGATCAACAAGTCATTGATTCAATTGATTCTCTGATCCATTTTGTGATGCTCTCAAGCTGCAAGACGAGGTGGTCATCGTCTCCATTGCCTTATGGTTTGCTGCCAGGCCATGCCTACGAGACAGCT